CTCTGTTTTGCTCTAGTGCTTCTCATCACTGCTGGCTGCAATAAAAAAAAAAAAAATAGAAATCGTCCTTCACTCCCTGTTTCTTGCCTCGCCTCATTGCGTTGACACAGTGATTTGGGTCTGTCTGCTCATCCCAGGGTGAAACAGTAGAAGGGTGTTTACTGTAGCAAGTGTAGAAAAGGAGGATGCCTCCTGCTGAGACGCTGCCAGTGGCGTGCACTCAGAGGGCAAGAGGAAGTGGGAGGGAGATAGGGAGATTGTACATAAACAAAACTATTTGCTCTCTTGTGATTTTCATAAGACGCCCCTCGTCTGAACAAAAGGGACATACGACTATAACAACTGATAAATAGTACTACCCGTATCCACACTTAAAGAGAGACCTTTGTTTGCAAAGAAGTGAAAAATGAAACTTTTCTCTAATACTTTTTCTATCTTTTTTGTTTTGGGATTGGGGTTATGACTCTGTCAGTAGAAGTCACAAAGCCTTAACTGAAGGTGCCAGAATGGCCTCAGGCTTTTTACAAAGATACAACCGGGAATTACGTCGACATTTAAATAAATGTTTGGTGCATCTTCCTGACACATTTGACTTGGTGCTGGAAAACAAGTTTACTTTCTTAGCCGTTGACAAAAAAGAGTACAGTGAGTATTTGTAGTACTCTGATATTTACAGTTTCCTGATCCTTAAAATCAGATTTAGCTGCTACAAAAATGCTAAAGGTATTTAAAAGTTTGCCCTAAATGCCACACTACACATTTGGTGTTGATGAAATCTGGAGGAATGAAGTGTCTTTTTATTGGTCTGCTCAAAAGTCCACATCAGTTTAACTGGACAGATCAAGCTTGTTCTTTCTACTGCTTTAAATTCTACCCTAAAGGATTTAATAATACAGTAACTACATTTAGAAGTTGTAGTGAGGAGCCTGGAATCATCATTTTCCGCCTGACAGAATGCAGCTCTGGGAGCTCAGCCGGAGAAGATGAAGCCTGGTGCTTTAAGTAGTTTTGTTTGTTCTGGGGCTGCAGGAAGTGTGTGACAGCCAGGCAGGGCCGTGAGACTGATGGTTTGTTTGTCTTTTCTTGTCTCTGCTCTGCTTCAAGGACCTCTCACTCTTCATGCTCAAGATGTGGACATTGTTTGTGGACAGACAGATAAACACTCACACATATCAGTGGGGATGTGCACCACCTGGACTCTCTGTGCTGAATATGCACAGTGGGGCTGCATCTTATTTCAGTTTGATTGCAGCAGTTTTTCAGCAGAGCAGATGGGGACCTTTTTCAAGATTTCAGCAGTGTCATGTCACCATTATGAGGCTAGAAGATTTTACTTTTTGTCTGAAGCACACGATAAATAGACTTGGCCACAGACATGCGATAAGATCCAAGTCTCCACTGTTGAGGTGAATGTGTAGTAATAATGCTTCAAACACTTCATCTCATACTTATAACACAAGCTAGGCTACTAACAAGCACTGTGACAGAGCCACCATATATTTTGTTTGGAAACATCACGCATCCCTGCGACTCAGTGAGCCACACTGCATTATACAGTAGCTACACCACTGTGACCAAAGCCAATAAAGAAACACAAGGAGAAATGTGTCTGTGCTGGATCTGTGTAAACACTACAATTTGAGGCCATTTTCTATACAGGTTTATCATCCCTCCAGTGATTTACAGAATGTACCAAACCTGAATGACAAGGTATAGGAAGCCATGGGAATAAATCAATGACATCACTGATTCATGGGGAATAGTCAGGGATGACGTTCCTACATGGAAATGGCTTGTATGTTGTGTGATGCATGGCATACAGCTCTTGCCAGAATGCCACATTACAGCTTCCTGTACACTCAGTTGTAGCTTCAGTTTCAGTGGAGCCCGAGGAGCTGCCATATCATATCCCTGCTTATTTCTTTCTGATCACCTGTAAATCTGCAGGGGGCATCTGCAAACACGCAGACTTTGTTCAGTGCCTACTCGCTGGCACCATTACTGAGGGATTTCTGAGCTTCTCAGCTTTGTGAAGAAACTGTAGGTCTGATTCCAACATGTAGCATCTAGATTGGTCGTGTAAATATCAGCCTGTCGTTTGTTGTTCTGGACGTGAATCCAATATGATGAAACATAAAGGAAGAGCCTGAAATCTGACTTGGAAGGATGCTAGGAGGAAAGTGCAGGGAGGGACAGGTGTTAGACTGTGAAGAGAGGCTTATCTGTGTGTGTGTGTGTGTGTGTTTTCCAGGGGTAGGTGTGCTGAGTGGAGATCAGCTGGGGCTGATTTGTGAGAGAGAATGTTTATCCTATGATAGAGATGGAAAAAGACAAAGAGAGGGAAAGAAACTGAAGAGGGTAGCGGGGTTGTGTGTGTGAGAGAGAGGGGACAGATGAACACACCATAAGAAGAGTGAGAGTGGCATAAGTGGAGGTTGTAAGTGATGACTGCCCTGCGTCCAATCTGTTCCAACAGCAGAGGTGAGCCGACAACACCAGGCCATTGAAAAATGAAACTGCAAATGGAGCAGCCAGGAGTGACAGATTTTATCCAGCTTCAATGCAGCCACACCTGGAGGGTTCTGGTGTGTTTGTGATGTGGAAAAGAAGAGCACGAGCAGTTCCTCTCAAGGTTATGCCCTATCCTAATTTGTCAGTATCTGTCTAGTCACTTTGACAGGCCAGACTGTGATGACGTGACACAGTGTAAACAGGTTTTTTTGGGAGAGAAAGGAGGGTCATTTGGTTGATATATGGTCAAAGTTAATTCCTGGCCTGCCAGCACTCCGAACTCTCATTGTTTACAGAGTAGGAGAGTGGATGTGGGGAGTGTACAAGGTGGTAATGGTGTGAGTTGAAACAAAGGTATTAAGATAGGACAGTGACAACTGACTTCTCAGTTTGGAGGCACGGTTCATCTTTCCTCTGCTGAGCGCTGGGAGGTCATGATGTTTGTCATTCTCTTATCTTCAGCTGGTCTTCTTCATTGTTGCTTCCTTTGTTTATGGAACAAACGCCAGTCCTTGATTATTTTGTTTTGTTCTCTTTGCTAAGAGAGACAATCAAATCAAAAGAAATGGCCAGCTCCTCAGATATAACCTTGTACTTCTGTTCTCATTTGTACTTGGATTTCCTGGGGGGGAAATGAGTTGAGACCAAACCCAGTCAGTCTCTAAAATGTTCTGGTGTTTTGATGAAGTGAACTAGTGAATAATTCTGTCAAATTCAAACTCTAGTTATGAAATTGATTTGAAATAAAGTAAGGACATTTTATGTCTATACAGCCTTGTTTAATGTGCTCGAATTTAGTGATGAGTAAAATCAATAAATGAAACAAAGGTTGCTTAAAGTTGGAGAGAATTATGAGAAATTCTGCCTCAACCCATCACACTGGGTTGGGTCCACTCAGGTGTGGGCTCAGAATCAGATCCTTGGTCTAAACCAGGGTATAAATTCCATGCCGTCCAAGCGGCCATGGCTGTCGTTGCCCTGGCATCTGGCCGTACTGCCCTGTATATCTGTTGGAGTCACACGGCCACAGTGGCTGGTGTGCCCTCATCAGATCTGAGGAGCGATCTCTGTAATGATCGTTCATGTTCAGTCACTCACATACGTGTGTGTTTATGGATGTATTAAGGAGAACGATGCTTAGTAAAGCTGTTCACCCGGGCGGGAGAAGGTTCTCATAAAATTTCCGTGGTTCATGTAAGTTGGCATAATATGCTGTAGAATTTAAGGTTATTCACTCTTTAACTTGGTAACATAACATTTTTAGAAACTGTTGGTTGAACCTCTGTGCCTCATGTTCACTACGTCTGTGCTGTTTTCGGCTCAGAGTGTGCATCACATTTATATTTCATCAGCTCTCTTATCTAAATGTCACATTTCTGTTCTTAGTAAGCGTTTTACCTTTTCTCCATCTAATCGTCTCCATCCCTTAACGTGGACGCATTTAAGTTTATACGTAAAGTTATTCTATCTGCTAATAGCAGAAAGAAATTTTGAAATACTGTCTAAGAGACCCCATATGTTTAAGGACAACTTAAGCTGTCTAAAAAGAAAAGCTTTAAAGGAGTTAGAACTTAATTCTGATATAACAATACAAAAAGCAGATAAAGGTGGTGCTATAGTAGTAATAGTAAGATTTTTGATATTTTTCTTCTATATTATTATATCTATTGATGTTTGGCCTTTATATGTATCATTTCTATTGAAATCATTTTTGTATATATGTTGATTATGTATTCTGGGACATTTACATTTTTATTGTCCCCACACACCCATATGTCTTGTCCTTCACTAGGAATTTCTTCCCTAGATCATATTACTTTCTAGGGATGAAGTATATATTCAGAGTGTAAGTATTTTCTTGCCATTACATTTTGATATGTAGGCTACTTATTGATATGCTGTTATTTTTGTGATAATTGTAATGACCTACACCATTTACTATCCTAATTGTATCATGTATTTCTTTTGATGTCATGTATATCGTGAACACCAAACCCTAGTTTGTGACTGTACTGCTCGGGCTGTATACATAAGCTACGTACACATGTCATTTGTCTTGGCCTTGGCGCCCAGTCAAGTGCCCTTTGTACCCTCCAAAAATTTATGAAATCAAAGGGCAAATGGCCTTCTGCTTCAGATTATGAAATTTATGGCCCGGTCTAAACCGATCAACAGTGCTTACCAAAAGCTCTGTGCTCCTTCCCACCTCCTTGACTAGTTCTAAAGTGGTTACTCAACAAGCACTTAAGATCCCACCAGAGGTGCACTCAAGTTGGCTTTGAACAGTGCAGTGTCTGCTGCATAACTCAACATTTCAGCCTACCTGCTGTTCTCTTTGTATCTCCAGCCCTCCTCGTGCTCAACAGTTTGCTTTCTCTTATTTCCCCCTTTGCACAAAATCAATTAAAAACAACTTGATGCTTGGGAATGCGGCTTTACCATTTTTCCAGTTTTAAAAAAATGCATTTTAGGCTGTGTGGCTCTGAGAGACAACACTCTAAACAAGTATCAAAGAGATGAGCAAAACCGCTGTCCCCAGCTGTGACACACACACACGTACTCAAACAGAGAGAAAGCAGCAGGGGCCTGCCCCCCTCCCAACACCTCTGGATGAAGTCGTAACCTCATAACTGCCAGGTCCCTGTAACCTTGGAAACTCTCCATCCCCCTCTTGTCCTTTGTATTTTTGCCCCTGTGATAAACTGTGCTGCCTTTGCTTTCTCACTTTTCATTTCTTTGCCATCTACAACTGTGCTGTGCATTGAATAGACGGGCAGAACAACACATGCAGATCTGTTGGAACTCAGTCAGCCTCTCCCCCCTCTCTCCATCTGTCCCTCATTCATCCATCCCCTGTCAGTGCCTCCTCATAGTGATGAAGCTCATTAGTGGGCTGTCTCTGTCAGGTTGGGGGGTGGGGGGCTCACTGCCATGCTTATATTTAGATACTGGGATACTGCAGGTATGATGTGATGATTTTTAATGAGGTGCAGAGCAGAGCGTGGATCCTGTCAGTCACACACAGAGAGGAAGAAGCATAGCCACCCACTGTGGCATCAGTGCCGTCAGTGGTTCTCTGTCTGGCTCGTACACTCACATCTCAGAGACTTCCTCAGAATTGAACAGACAGACAGGTTGTTTTTTTTTTTAGTAGCACCTGTCAGGGTATGCAGATCCTTTGCATGAGTCATCAGCAGTGTGTGAAGGTGTTGTTATTATTGGGCACAACAAATGGCTGCGGAGTACCGGTGTGTCTGAGTTTGTTTACTGAAGCTGTTATGTAGCTAAAAATAGCAGTACAGCTACGTTATTTAAACTCTGCTGAAAGTGTATTTGGAAAAGGACATTTTTCTGTCCTTAGTGGTGCATTTGAATTTAATATAAAAAGCCTTTGAGGGCCAACTATTTGCAGGTGCTTCTTAAATCTAAGGATTGGATTCTTTTCTTTGTCATATATGATGGGTAATTTAGAATCCTTATGTTATGAACCAGAAATTTTTAAATTTCCATAGTTTTCCTTGAGTCCCTCTACATACACATGAGGGTATGCACAAATCATGCCTGTCCTTTTAATATTTTAGAGACCTAATGATAAATCAGTTAACTGATAAATTAACTCTTAATTGTAATCCTGTGCAAGAATACAGCAAACTTAGCCAAAGTGTAAAAAGCTCCAATTTTATTTCCATAGTGCAACATCCAAAGATTTTATTACGCAATCTTATAATAACCACATAATATCTGACAGATGCTCTTAAATGAGTCTGCATTTAGTGATGATGAGATTGAAATGTCCCTGAGCCAAAACCAGTACTAACTCACAACTGACAAATTCCCTTGCTTCGTGTGATCATGACCTCATTTTGTCAGGAAGGATGTCAGTATTTAATGACTTTTGAAATCATCCAGAGTGACAGACTGCTGATGTTGTCCCTCCTCTCTCTTCAGAGCATAGTGGCCAAATACGGCTCTCAGTTTCGGGGAAACTCCCAGCACGATGCCCTCGAGTTCCTCCTCTGGCTTTTGGACAGAATTCATGAAGATGCCAATCCCAGCCACAACAGTAACAGCAACAGTAGCAGCAGCAACAGCAAGACCAAAGCCAACACCAAGGTGAGTCCCCACTGTTGGGGTTTATCACTGCTGCTGCCGTGACTGGTATAGAATACTAAATGTGATCAGTGACTGCATTGTATTGTGACTGCTTTCATTTGCTTGTTTTGATAGTTCAAGACCACTTTATAATGATAGCTTAACTTTGTAGGTGAAAATCCTCACTTCTTGAGTCTCATCATGTGTGTCCTCTCCTCTCTATCTGTCATACCCACACACACACAGACACACAAAGCTCCTGTGTCTTTTTTATCACTTTCTTCAATGGCAACAACAAAGTTTTTTTTTTCTGAGCTAATTTTCTTGACAACTTGAACAAACCTTAAATAATTTGTTCAGCAGAATAAGCTCATGGCAGAGCTAATTTCAATAAGTGGAATTATATTGATCTGTGCCTGCTAACAGCAGTCAGCTTTTATGTTGGCTGTCAACTGACTATCATTTCTTCTGGTCATTAAATGTGAGCAGGTCACGGACACAGTTTGAGTCCTTGAGCTGCCCCAGACAAGCTACTCTCTTAATACATAATAATAACTTCTGAGGGGTGCGCTCAGCCATTAAGAACTTGGAAAGAGACCTAGCTGAATATATATTTGAAAAGCAGTGTGTGGATAATGCTATTAAGCTTGAATACATACATCAGTATTTATACAGTGTTATTATACGGCAGCAACATTAATAATACATAGGCTTTATAGAATTTACAACCATTTAAACATTGTCCAACCAGTCACATTTCAAAAACTCACTTTTTTTATTTACTGCATCAGTGATTTCGAAGCAGAAATAATAATCTGCTGCTTTGGGTCATCCTCCACTTGGCCCACTGAGGTTGTATGGAAATCCAGGGATGGATCCCCCCCCCAACAATTTCTTTGTACTGTAATCTAAGTTGATATATGGATGTATAGTGGAGTTGCATGTGACCATGCAAACAAAATCGTCTCGTTACGTTTCATACCCTGATCCCACACACAATACAGCATAGGAAATGGGTAGTGTGAAGGATATTTCTAATGTGTATTTTATTAAAAAATTATTCTTGGCATGTACATACCTCTGCCAGCTCTGGACAGATTTATTTCTGTGCACTTTTATTTACTTTTTTGTTTTTATGAATTTCAGCTCCATCAGTGATTACTGATCTTTAGCTGTAGTAGGGCAGGGGTTTTCCAGTACTTACACCTCTTTAATTTCATGGATGTTTAGATCACTTAAACTTGCACATATAGTATAATAGATGACGTTATTGAATGTGTAATTTTTTGAGTGTGCGTCTTTTTGTGCATATAATGACATTTATATTGAGTATGAAGACCTGCTGTGATCAACTTCTGCTTTAACAAACCCTGTGTGTTTAATTACATTCACTAAGTATCACCCTGTTTCTCCCGTTTGGCCTGGAGTTTGGCAGCAGCGCTGCTGGTTATGGCTCCACTCTGGGCCTCACCAGGCCTCACCTTTGCTCCTATTAGTAATTGTGACCGTGCTGCCACCCAGTACCCAGCTCCCCTTCTCTGACAGCAGCACTAATAGAGGCAGCCTTTCTACTACATAAAGAGCTTAGGGCTGTAGCTCTCATTACGCTGCCAGTGAATCACAAAGCCGGCTTTTCCTCCGCTGCTATTATGAGAAAATCACTGGCTTTTTCACACCAGGAGGGAACGCGTCTGAGTTTGTGAAATGAAATGCTCTCCTATACCATAATTGATTTCATTCATGTAGCGCAGTGCGTTCATGCTTACACAGCTGATGTGTTATGAAAATCTTGGCAATCCAGCTTTGGAGATTACAGCACATGCTCCTGTATGGGTTTAGAAAATCCGGTGTCCTCATCTGTGTACAAAACATTTTCAAAACATTTTAACACAACCGCACATAACCAAGCATAAACACACAAACTAATACACACATGCATATAGTGAGCTGAAATTGGGCAGTATTCATTTCTTACAGAAATCCACATCTTAGTTGTCTCAAAGCTGTACTCATCTAATGCTCTGGGATTAGTGAGTAAACTTTGAACATTTAGTTAATTAATAAATCCCTGACGTTAACTACATGACTCTCACATCCCTATATAGCTTGTAGTAAACTTGTAAAATCATCCCAACAAGCCTTTCACACAGCAGATGTTCACATGAGATGGGACCCATTCATTTGAGGCAGCAGTCACGCTAGCTCTTACTGTAACACACTTCACTAATAATCCTAAGAATTACAATGAGTTATGTTGAATCATCACCTAATTAATGTCTCCCTTGCTCTAGAAACATGTTTTCCTATGTAGAATTACATAGAAAACTTTGTAAATGATAAGCTGAACAAGGAGAGAATAAAGACTATAAATCCTTCCGCATAACCTTTGCAAGTCAGATGATAATTGATGTCTGTTGGCAGGGCAGAAGGACAGACAGAAAGTGAGATGAAGTGGTGGCTGAGCTGAGTGGGAGATGGCGGAAGGAAAGTGACTTTGATTGCTTTGTCTGTCACTGGAGTCTGGGTAACAGGCAGTTAGGGTAGGATGATAAAGGTCATGCTGAGCTGTTGATACCTAACAGTATCAACATTTCCCTATCAGTTGTACAGACATGTAGTGAACAGTGCCTCGGCCCACAGTTTATCCTACATTGACTTTTGATTGTGGAGCAGGCTAAACTAACAAAATGAGATGAGGTGTACAGTCATCTTTACCCTACTGAGGACACCTTTGTCATACTGTACTTTGTCTGTGTTTTATGTTGTATAATATAAAACAATTTATGTAACCTCTTTGGGAAAACAGCTCTTTTTTTCTTACAACCTCTGCATCACCTGCCTCTGTCACATTTCGACAGCCTCATGATGTTTATTCTTGTCATGATATATTCTCTGGGACTGGCTCCAGCATTGTGGCATTTAATAGATGATGTAAGCTCTGTGTTTATATATGTAAATTTTTTGTATGTGTTGGTAACACATTCGTCTGTGAACTGCAAATCCATGTGGATATACAGTAGACTGCATTTATTGATTTAGCACTGTGTGCCTATGTAGGTGCTTTTTTCAAAAAGTCAAGTGACATAAACAGCATTGTAGGTGAACAGAGCATTATAAATTGTCCCAAGGTGTGAGCATGGGTATACTGTAGATGTGACTACCAGTCTAAACTGTGATAGGCCATGACCAGTTCAGGCTTCAGGCCCTGCTTCTCAATGCAGTGCGTTCGGGGGATGTTGTAGGTGTCAGCCTGCTTCCAAGCATAAACAGGCTAAGTGGTTTAGAAAATGATGGATGGATTTATTGATTTATTTGGACTCCCGTTAGCTAGGCTCAAAGACACAGCCAACCTTTTAGGGTCCCTTTGCACAGAATAACATCTACATAAATGTAGGTTAGAATGTCAGAAACAACATAATACAGTCAATTACATCCTCACACTTGCTACAGCCTTCGAAATGACCACAGAATTAAAATCCTCATTGATGCAGTGTAAATCAAAAACCCTGTAAGCGCCACAAGCCTGGAATTTATTGCAAAACCTGTTTGGACCATATAACATTGTATTTGTATAAAATGTGTATGAGCTAACGTCTGGTGTAGTGCATTATGCAAGACATTGTAATCACCTTGTGTTATAGTGCGACATGCAGAAGAGCCCAGCAGAGTTACAAACCTTGTTTGTGCAGCATACCTGCTGTATGAGCAGTGTGACCAGTCAAACAGCATCACCCAAGTAACATTATGCAACATAACACTGTGAACACAGAAAGGCAGCTCAGTAATGTTAATCCTCCTTTCAGTTGGATCTTGCTAAACTCGCTTGGTTTCCCACTCTCTTCGCTAGCACAACAGCAGCAGCATTCCTTACTGGCTCATAGAAAACCACACATCTCACATTATCGTTATTCTTTTCTCACCGTTGATGATAGATAAACAGTGTAAAAATAGGTATTTAAATATATAAGAAAAACAAGCACGTGCTGAAAAGAGCAGATTATCATTTCATTGGCTTGCATATTACTTTTGTCTTCCAGCAAGTATTAGGGAAGAAAAGCTTTAGCTACAAAAGTAAGAGAGGCTTTTTCTTGACCTACTAGTTGCAGTGCAAAACATAGCTGTCAGAGCCTGTGAGCCGTGGCAGATTATATGATATTAAAGGTCAGAATCACACTCAGAACTGGTGCATTACATTCTCCCCTTAGGGCTGAGCAGATCTCAAATATGAGGACTGGCTAAACTATCCTGTTTTGTCTGGTGGGAAAAAAAAGGCTCAAACCAACAAGCTCACATAAATTTCCAGTGTTCACTGAGTGAACCCATAGAGAGTAGTTAAATTTTGCCTTAGGCCATGAGTGGGATTTAGAGCAAGTGCATTTAAAAACTCATCCGTCTCGCCATATGGACAGTAGTGGGATGGGAAGTCAGCCAGTGCAGTGCAAAAGAATTACGTATGCATTATTCCACTTTAAATGTCATAGTGGTCGGCCTTTCAGCCCCAGGAGGTTTGACTTTGGAGGGAGGAAGAGGAAAAATCCCTTGGCCCTGGAGCCAGTTGTAAAGACTTAGATACTGTGTCAGTGGATGTGGTAAAGCAAGCGAGCCCTCTTATCAACAGGGCCAGGAAAAGTGAGTCTGATCGCTCTTCACTTTGGTTTCATGTTCTTCAGAGGGCTGAGAGCAGATGAATGAGATGAATCAGGCAGAGGATGATGGGCCCTTGATCAGACAGCTCCTTGTCAGTGTCAGTCAAAAGGGCATTAATTCTCAGATATAACACTCACTTCCTTATCTTTAAGCAAACAAGAAAATCATTCTGTTCCATTAAAAAAAAACAAAAAAACAAAAAATATTTGGCTCTGCATCTTAACAAAAGCTGTGAAAGAATTAGAACAATATTTTTGACAGACTGGCCTTTTCAATGAGCATACAACCATGAAGAGGTGTTTTTGAGACAGTGCAGAAAATCTAAAATTAAAAAAAGAATTCAAGTAAATAACTGCTGTTGCAGAATGCCACTA